GATTGTGGTGGTGGTGATGATTTGTTGTTGATTGTCGTGGTGGTCCTGGTGGTGGTGATGGTTTGTTGTTGTGATTGTGGTGATGGTGTTATTGTAACTATTGTTGTTTTTGTTGCTGCTGCTGCTGTTGCTTTTACTACTGTTGCTTATAATATTGTTGTTGTTGCTGTTGCTTCTTTAATTACGTTGTTTAGTGCTGTTTGTTCTTGCTGTTGTTGTTACTGCTGCTGCATCTTTGTTGTTGATATTGTTTTTGTTGTTGTTATTATTATTGTTTTTGTTGTTGTTGTGGTTGTTATTCTTATTGTGCGCCACTGCACAGTGACTACCTGCAATGGCAAGTTTGAGAAATTATTTGGCATCAATGTTTTATTGTTCATCTTTTGTATCTCTATCTGCGTGTGTGTTAAACTACGTCAAATGAGGTTATTGATATTGTCAGTAAGCTAGTTCATTTGTCTTGCTTTTCGATGAGAAAAATGCCCATCTATTGTGTCAGGGGTGAAGATGGAGAAAACATGGCCGCTAAAGCTTTCTCACTTCCAAAGCTTGAGCGGCCTTGGAAACTGCAAATTGACATATTTTTATGTCTGTAATCAACATATTTTTTCAGTTAAATGCACACAGAAATGTATTTTTAAATAGACATAAATAGTGCGGAGCTAAAAGAAAAATAAATAGAATTCGATGAAAATTGCAGAACAGCAGAAAAAAAATTGTTTCTTTGATTTCATTATTTTGACGAGCGCCTGATTCACCATGATGCCACACATTCATTTATTAATTCATTTTAAAAATAAAGAAGAAAATTGTATTGTTATTGTATTTTTTCTCCATTGACCAGCGACCCCATCGACCTGAGCCAGGAGACCCTGAACATGCGTCAAGTGGTGGTCAAGCTGCAGCGTATCTCCGGCAAACCCGTTCCCTTGACCAACCAGCGCCAGGCACGTGCCCTCATCTTGACCCTTGACGCGTCATCCGAGTCCGTGACCAGGCAGATGCAGCTGGAGTCTTTCGTCAGCATGGTCAACTCCGGACAGGTCAGCTACGCCATGCTCAGACTCTGGAGGTCACCCATCCCCGAGCTGGACAACCAGGAATGGCAGGTGAGAGACAGGCGTAGGTTTAATTACTGAAATTAACTCAAATTATCTGTTTTTGCACGTGCACACGAACACTCACGCAAACACACACAAGAGACACACACGCACAAATACACACACACGCACACATACGCACACACACACACATACACACACATACTCACACAAACACATGCATACATAAACATAATATCCACAAATACACACATGTTCTTTACACAAATGCACACACATAATATATTCAAGCATACACACAAATGTATACGTGTAAGCACACACATGCACAAAGACAAACACACAAACAGACGCGCACACGCACATACACTCACACACACACACACACACACACACACACACACACACACACACACACATACACACGCACACAAAGCGAAGCAAAGCAAAGAAAAGCAAAAGTTGGACGATACGTCGAACACTAAAAACCAATATTACTCTTAGTCGACAACCAC